GCGCGAAGCGCGAGGTCGATTTGACATTAAGAGCACGATTACTCCATGAATTGTACGACACGAGGTCAATTTACTAATTAATCGTATCTATAACAAATTTCGGAATTAAAAATGTCTTTTTGAGAACTTCTTTTGAGAGAAAACGTCTGAAGCGGTTTTCACAAGTTTTGAAAACTGTAGGTAACATTGCAAAGGAAGCCATTAAAGCGCGCGTAATTGACGTACGAATCACGTGGGTATCCAATTGCAGGTTTCCAATTACAAACAGTTCAAATTGGATACCTGTAATTGGACACCCATGTGACCGTACGCCGATTACGTGACAAATAGGCGCGCGGAGAACCAATCACGAACTATTTACACAGTCTACAAACAACTTGGCGGATAACCCATTATCGAGTTGTTGAAATCTTTAAAGGGGTTTGAAAACGTCTATTAGTTTAGTGCTGAGCCAGACCTTTCTCATACATAATTTTAACACCATTTTGAGCCTGAAATGGTCTTTACGGGTGTTGTTGTAATAAATCACTCCGATTCATGATAATCACCTCTCAGGTGATACATAATGTGAGTTCCAAGTTGGATTCGAAAAACGCATATTTGCTTTTTTTAAGAAATGGACAACAACTTTAAGTTTAAAACAAGACATGTTTCGATCGTTGAACGATCATCTTCAGTTGGGAATTCGTTTACAAGTTCGGTTGTTTGCTTTTGATTCATCTAGTGTATGCATTTAGTAGTATTTAGTTCACAACAAATGACGAAGAAGAATATAGTAACTGGTTTGAACCCAGGAGTATCATGATCAGTAGATCGTATACATAGAGTGATCATCTGTGTGAGGGATGTTCTGGAAAGAAGTGCTTGTTGTTGGTGACTGACATTTCGTCAACCTGTCAGTCGATGATTTTACAAGTCTGGTCCGTTGAAAGTGATTGGTCAGTTTAGGCAACAGCTATACTTGCACCTTACAAACGACTTATTCTCGGCACAAACGAAACCGACAAGCGGACCTCAAACAGACCGACTTAATTTGACTAACAACAGACGGATCGAAACTTACTCGAACCGACCAATGACTGCTGACAAACTTTACACGAGTCTTACAGCCAATACAATTATGGCTAAACTGACCAACCACTTTCAACGAACCAGACTTATAACGCCATCGACTGATCACGACAAACGCAATACACTTGACTCTGACTCTGACTCTGATGACTTCCGCTCAGGTTGTCGAAACGTCAGTCACTGAAAACAGTTCTTTTCAAAACTACCCTCAGCCCGACGATCACACTATACGAAATAAGAAGAATTTGGGCGCAAAAGTCTCTCTCTCTCTCTCTCTCTCTCTCTCTCTCTCTCTCTCTCTCTCTCTCTCTCTTTTTAAAAAAAGGAATAAATGCCTCGATTAATAGTTATCTTTCGTGAAATCGGCTTATTGTTGCTAAAATCCCGAGTTCTTTGTTAACTACAAAACTCGAGTCTGAAGAAAAAGTTCGTGGTAAATTAAAAAAACCCTTTATCCAAAGAAAGCAGTCTGTAGGAAAATCAATGTTAAACATCTGCATGAACTTTACAACATACTAACAGAGCAGCTGCTCTTTAAAGTTGAATAGAGGTCGAAGTTGAGAAGAAGTCAAATGGGAAGAGAAGAGAACGAAAACAAAGACCAAAAAGGAGTGATAAAATGACTAAGATTCTTGGAGGCGCAACTGGAAATCAACTTGCAAATTTGTCAGAAGGGACTAATTAAAATATCGCTGAAGTACTTTAAGTCAGCCACATTTTGCGATATTAATGCTAATATAACGAATTAACCTATTTTATGTCATTATTAATATTATACTCAGTACTTATCAAACTGGTAATTTAGGTCCGTTTTGAAACTGATTCAAACTGAACGCATCTAGATGAACTAATACGAAGCGGTTACTCGTGACTCGATTTCTCGCGCTCATCATACGGTAGTTATTTAATTGGAATACGACATTTATTAACTCAAGCGTGTCTCAGATAAGGGTTGGTAAATTAGGTCCGTTTTCGAACTGATTCCAACTGTACGCATCTGAACAACTAATATGAAAGTCTCTCTGTCTTCCACTAATTATACGCTACGGTTATTTACTAATTTATTAACTTAAGTGCGTCTCACACAAGTAACAAAAACACAGTTAGAATATTTTGTAATTTTATATTCTTATCCGAGAAAAGTAACATCAAGATATAATTTATGCGAAGAGGCGGTTATTTCTGCTGAGGTCGAAAGAAATAGAAGATTGTATTTCTTTGTTTGCGTCATTTCCCTGAAACCTGTAAGTTCGATAACACTTTGTCTTTCATATTTTTCGGTTCCCAGATCGCACACACTTATCCGTTAATGACCAGTATGGTGATGTTTTAATGAAAGACTGCAAAAAAAGTCCTTTTAAACTGCAACAGTCACACCATCATTCTTCCTACCAGACTAAAACTCAAAAATAGTCTTTCTCCATCGGCCAGCTCTATTGAAGCGAATTTCCTATTCTTACTTTTTGAAATTTTCCTTTGAATTCTAGTTTAAAGTCAGATCCGAACCCAGCAGCTGGGCGGCTGAAGTACATTTACTTAGCGACGAAAGTTAGCCATGTTGCATGTTACAAACAATAGAAGTCTGCATACAGATATGAAAACCGATAACCCTTCCACTAACCTTTCCTTTTTCTTCAGTGCTGAAAGGAACTCTTGCCGTTTCTTCAAAGTGACATGTTTCGTTTTTGATGTGCTGGGACAGAATTGTCTGCCGAGACGTATAGTTTTTCTCGATGTGAAATTGACACTGAGCAAACGGCCTTCTCCTGTCGATAATATATTGGGTGTCAATCCACTCAGATCTCTCAATATAAGTTATTAAACTGCGTATTCCAGGTGATATGCAAATTATCGACCAATCAACGAGGTCGAATGTGTTATTTATCATGATAGATAAGGAATTTAGAAGAGACCAGAGTGTAAAAAAGGATTATTTTTCCTTGGCTGCAAGCCACCTCACTAGTCAAATTTAGTTCTGAATTCAAAATAACAATTACTTAATTACAAATGAACTTTTTAATAATAAAAATGACACGTTGAAAAATACATTTAATGTCGTTATGAAGTGTAGCTCTCTAGGCAATACTCCTTATATATCGCAAAAGAGATCAAAAAACACTTCCTCAATTAGTCAATTTTATGCTAATTTACGTGCTTACAATTTCACGTTGATAACAAATGGATCCTTTCTAACATGATAAGGCCAGCTTAAAAATATACCAGCACTAAGATTCCAAATCATTGTAAAAGATGATTATCCAGAAGGGTATCTACAAATGTTATTATTTTTACTTCTGAATGTGCTTACATATTTTTGTTTTGAACTGAATAAATTCATAGGCGTTCATTTAAGTAGACGTTTAGAATGTGTTGTAAAATTACTTTCGTCCTCGTGAATGATGACGAAACTTTCCTAGTGTTTCATGTTTCACCGGTCTTAGCCAATTTCGACTAAAGGAACTGATTAGGATTTCAAACTCCTTTTGCGAATATTTTATTTTTTTAGGTCTTATCAGACATAGGCTGCCCACTTATCGACTGAGTTGCCGGACCAGACGGGAAAATAATATTTGTCTGATATGTTTGGCTCGACGGGCAATAACAATTCGTACGGACCGCAAGGGCACCGTGAACAAGTATCAAATGCAAGTGAAAGTCCATACGTTTTTGTCATACCAACTTTGCGGATCATTATACCGATCTAGTGGAAAGGTTTGGAAAAAGTGCTTGCAAATAATGGCTTAGAAAGTGGTACCGTGGGCGTGTTACTTCAGTCATGTGACGTCATGAAAATCGTAAATATCAACCACGTTCACTTAAAATAGTAACTGTTACGCTCGTGCAAATTTTCATACCTGGTCCACAATATAACCCGCTCTGAATTGATCATACAAGGGTTTCAACATTTCGAACACTAAGTTGGGTGCGTTATTGATCATGTTTTGTTTCTAAATGGTACAAAATCTGCCATTTTTAGACTCCATAGTTGGTCGACTGGTAGAACGGTTTTCAATTGAGTGTCAAAAGTAATCAGGCAGTTATTTTGGTTTTGGTTTTACTATGGTTTGAGATTGGCTGAGAGTCTTATTTCTACGTAGTTTGTTTGGTTTTGGTTCTACGACACACAATTGAAAACCACTCTATGTAAAGAGTTAAATGGTATTTACATTGAAAATAAACTGGTTGAATTCAAGTTTGGGTAATACTGAAGCAGGAAACGTGCATAATTTTGAGTTATGTTTCCGCCATATTTTGTGCACAGTTGAGCTGTAAACTGAAACTCTTTAAGACAGGAGGTGGTCGTTTGCAAAGTCGTTTTATTTTACGGGTCTTTTCCCAGGATTTCGTCGTAAAGAGCGTTCTGGTCTAAAACGCCTAGTACATTCGATCCTAATTGCCCATAAAACATACTACAAACACACTATAATTGAACAGCTGCAGGGACCTATTTCTAGATTCACTCGCGTCAACTCGTCTGAAACTATACACGTCAGCTCGCGGTACTTAAGTGCCTTAGCTTTGAATTGCGGCAAAGGACCCCGGAGATGGTTTGATAAATAACACAGTAACATCGGATAGGATAGATTGATTCTTGTAATCATCGCTCGGAGTCTGAAGCAAAACAATCAAATGAATTTGCAAGGGGTCTTGTGGATGAGGCTTCACGCGTGTGCACTCTCCCTCGGCTACGAAAACTGGAAGAACTAACAACTTGTTCTTGCCACATAACGCCAAGTTGAAGCACGCGTGTTGTGTTTTCAGGCAAAAGAAACGACCAAGGATTCATTCCTCTGAAGTAGCCATGCATAAATTCTACTGTATTGAAATTCAGAGGCATTAGCCAATTAGACGCCGTTCTACTATTCTGATTTCCTGAATTTTCAGCACAAGTAAGTAAATTGGCTGAATTTGTTTACTCAATCAAGATACACGGTAAAGCAAAAATCTTTATTGTATAGCTCCGTCAATTTTTTTCCCCTGTATAGAGTAGTATACCAAATACAAATGTCTTACGCGTCCTCTAAAATATCTAAAATTAACAAAATAATAATAATAAGACTGCGATAAGACCAGTTACTTTTGACCACATTACAATCTATATGATTTCTTGCTTAGACTGTCTTTAAGACTATCCCAACTATATTCAAAGGCAGTGCCAAGCGTAATCTGTGACCTATTACATGACATATGTAAAATGTCATTGCGGCCGATCACAAGAAGGCTATTTAAAAGCAGTACTAACTTTAAGCCTGTGGAAGAAACCACAGTGTGCGATTGTTCAGGTCAAAGCTATTGAGCAGTTTTTTTCTGTGGTGTTTATTCATCAATTTCAATCAAACGCAAAGTCTCAAAGTTTTCAAATTTTGGTAACTAGCAGACGCGGCTAAATAGTTTAACACACAAAACACCACAGCAATATTAAATCTATTTTACATTTACCACCAACGAATATCTCGCCATTAAGAACGCACAAAAAGAGAAGACCTTATTCATGAAGGCTCTTGCCCTGACACAGTTAAGTCATGTGATTTAATTGGGTAAATAGAAAACGGATTCTGTTGTTAAATTAAATCATTTTAAAGTAAATTTCATCTATCATGCCACACACATGCAATTATGATTCTAGAGGAGCTGAAACTTCAGAAATTGATTTCTTAAACATGCTGCCTTCTCTAAACCATATGCCTGATTTCCAATGTGAAAATGATCATCGCGGCTATTGCAAATTAGATATATTTTCTGGCACTGGCCAAAACGTATAACATTATATATAAAAGTTATCAATCTAGGATGTTACTTAGTATGTCATCTTCTAGAACGGTTACTACAGAAGATATCATTGTATAAATACCACGATTTTCTCAATTTCAATGACTAGCACAAGCTGTTCATGAGCTGGTTAAAATGTCAAATGAAGGAAAGTCTTACATGTGCACGTATCCATTCACGTTAAGATCATTGTCACGGCTTTCATTCAGAGCAGTGTCTTTCCTCAATACACTGCTCCACTTCCTTGTGACCAAACAATTTAGCACATCTAGAAGGAGTAAACCCTTCCTTGTTGACTGCGTACATGTCTGCTCCTTTGTCAATCAACAGACGAACTACTTCCACATGACCAGAGCCCGCGGACACGTGCAGCGGTGTGTTTCCAATACCATCAACGGCATTGCAATCACTGCCTGCATCAATTAACAACCGCACGATTTCTGTCTTGCCAAATGCAGCAGCTGTATGGAGGGCAATACTGCCTTCAGAATCTCTGGACTTGACACTCGCTCCGTGTTCAAGAAACAGACTAGCCATTTCCACATCACTGAAGGCCGAAGCCAGATGGAGAGGAGTACTTTCTTCGTTGTCTCTAGCCTCCAAATTTGCTCCTCGTTCAACAAGTACACGAGCAGTACGTTTCTCATCAAAAACTGCGCAGATGTGAAGCGGAGTGCATCCTTTTTCGTCTTGAGCCTCGAGATTACTACAAATAAAACCACAATTAATCTGGTCCATTTAAGATAATATCAAATGAAACAACAGACATTTGCCCAGAAATTGACATATGAAGATCACAAGTGCATACTCGGTCAGTTTTAACTTCACGTCTTCTTAATTACACTTTCAAACGATATTTGCAATGGGAACCCGAGCCATTTCTACAAAGCTTTACCATCACTGTTCGATCTCTCCCATATTTCAGTACGTCAATTTCTTGATTGAAGAATCTTTGACCTCCCTGAATTATCGGATCGAACGCCAGGAAACACTAATAATAAGTAAACACAAAAAAGAAAAAACAAAATACGAAACAACAACAACAAAACAAAACAATAACGAAAAAACATAATTCATTGCCGTCTTACCTTCCGTGATCAATCAAAACTGACACAGCGTCTTTGCTTCCCGAACAGCAGCCTACATGGAGAGCTGTACTTCCTTTATAATCCTCAGCCTCGGAATTGCTGCCATGCTTCAACAGAGCTCTTATCACCATCGTGTCATTTGCTTGCACACCAAGATGAAGAGGGGTACAACCCAGCTCATCAACAGCATTTACTTGCACCCCGAGTTGAATTAGTTTTGCCACTAAACCATAGGCGCCAAAACAAGTCGTCATATGCAGGCAAGTTCTTCCCTGTATATTAGCAGCGAGGACATCACTTCCGTTTTCAATGAGCGTTCTGGCAACGTCTTCTCTAGCTCTTGTAATAGCTATGTGGAGGGGTGTATTTCCATGCTTATCTCGGCAATGAACATCTGCTCCTGCCTTCAACAAAATCCTAAAAACAACGTTTGAATAGGTATAGTACGCAGCCCGGTGAAGAGGAGTGCAACCGGCTACATTCGTTGCATTAACATCTCCATCATTCTTTACTATCAGCTTCGCAAGACTTGGCAAGAATACAGCAGAATGAAGAGCTGTGTTGCCATTTTTATCTGCCACCTGCACGTTGCTTCCATGTTTCAGTAGAATCTTTGCTCCTTCCTTGTTGTTTGTAGAAAGACTCACTAGAAATGGCGTCTGTCCTCTGTTATTGACAGCAGTTAAGTCCGCTCCTCTATCAACAAGTTGCTGTATCATTTCTGGAGTTCCCCTTGCTGCCGCTCGGTGTAGAGGAGTGTCCCCATTTTTGTCCCTTGGTTCAAGGGCCAATCCGTCGTTTATCAGATTGTCAATAGTAGCGACACTTTTGGACACTGCAGCATAGTGAAGAGTGGTCCGACCAGTTATCTCATCCACAACCCTCTTGTCACCTCCATTCTCAAGGTACGTTTCCAGAACGTTCCATTCCAAGCTCCACAAATTACAATCATCTATTGCTTCAAGAATTGTACGTCCACTTAGATCTTTTGTGTTAACGTCACTCCCATGGTTGATAAGAAATTCAATCAGCTCTCGGCAACCGCTTTTAACTGCCAGATAAAGGACAGTCCTCCCTTTGTCGTCACCAGCTCCAAGATCACTTCCATGTTGGAACAAAACTTCGGCAGCACCAAAATGTCCTCCGGAAGCAGCAAAGTGCAGAGGAAGCCAGCCCATTTTGTCAGCTAACTGAACATCGGCACCATGTTGAATCAGCAACTCAAGAGAACTGTTGTTGCCCCCGTATGCGGCTGCGTGGAGAGGGGTGCGACTTTCCTTGTCCGAGGCCTCCACGTTGGCACCTTGCTGAAGAAGCCACTCGATGCAGCTTGTGTCTCCATCCATTGCTACAAAATGTAAAGGCGTCTCTTTGTTCATGTCTGGTAAATTGACATCACCTCCATATTGTAAGAGGAGATCACAGCATTCCCTTGGGGCATGATAAACATAATGAAGAGGAGACCTGCCAAACTCATCAATGGCGTTCACAAGGCTTCCATGATCCAACAATGTCTTGATAAGGGTGATTTTATCCGTCTCTTGGTCCCCATAGCGCAAACGTTCTACAGCAAGTAACAGAGGAGTCTTTCCCGAATTGTCCTTCCCATGAACACTGCTTCCATGTTTCATCAACAGTTGGACCATACGCAAGTTAGCACAAGCTGCTGCCGCAGCAAGAGGTGTATGACCTGACGAGTCCATGGCTTCCAACTCAGCACCGTGTTCCAAAAGCACTTGGGCTGCGTGGAGCCCATCTGAATTTGCAGCTATATGCAAGGGTGTCTGCTCGTCTTTAGTTTTAATCTTGATATCAGCACCGCACTGAAGTAACATCTCAACAAGTTTTCCATTGTTGTTTTGTGCAGCATGGTGAAGAGGAGAATAAGAATAATCATTCTTAACGTTCGGTTCACAACCCAGTTCAAGAAGAAGCTCAGCTACTTTGTCGAAGTTTGTGGAACACGCTATTTGAAGAGGAGTTTCACCTCGGTCGTTCCTCATATCGATATCAGCACCATATGAAATAAGGAGCTTGGCGAGTTCCATTGCACGAGGGCGTGGTGCGAACTGGAGAAGACAGGAAAGAGCTGTGTCGCCTGACCTATTCCTTGCATTTATATCCACACCCTTCTCTAAAAGAGCTGGAATGGAGTCGAAGTCCTCACGGTAAGTTGCTGAGGTCAACAAAGTTTCGCCATTCTCCAAATTGTCTAAATTGACGTTTTTCTGATCGGGAAGCAGTTGAAGAATATCAAGGGAACAATGCCTAGCTGCAAGCTCTGCAAGAGGGTTGTCTTCACTTTCCGAGTTCGAAGTATCAGCTCCTCGTTCTATTAGGAGTTTAGCCACTTCAGTATGACCCGCTTCCAAGGCGTAATACAAGGGAGAGATTTCTTGGCTTCCAAAGTGGTACCTTGTAAATTCATCATCGTCTTCCTCACTGTCTTCTCCGTCGCTGTGGCTGTGATGAACACAATTATCTTCTAAACTATGTGTTTTTGAGCCTTTGCTCCCATTGACGTTAGCTCCTTGCTCTAAAAGAAAAGCGACCGTATCACAATGTCCGCCTCTTGCCGCTTGCATCAGAGGCGTTTCGCCATATCTGTTGACGTCATCAACGGTCTTGGAAAGACCTTTGTCAATAAGATGTCTCAAAATATTCGTCAGCCCTTGTGCGGCAGCTATTTCGAACAGATTTTCGTTAAGAAAAGGACCGGCCCTGTTTATTAGCTTCAAATCGCATTCTCTTTCAATCAAAACCTTAGCGGCATCAGCATAACGTCCATGAACAGCAAAGAACAATGCTGAGCAACCAGATTCGTCTCGTGCGTTCACATCAGCACCTTGATCTAAAAGATAGACGATTGTATCAGATTGACCCTTGCTGGCAGCGGCATGTAACGGTGTTCTACCGTAGGAGTTCCTTGCAGGAACGTCAGCTCCTTGCTCAACAAGATACTGGACTAACTCAAGACGAGTGGCCAAGTGGAGGACTGTGTCCCCGTTAGAAGTCTTTGTCAACACACTCCCATTTTTTTCAAGAATAAATTTGACTACATCTGTTTGGTCTTCTTCAGCAGCAAAATGTAAAGGTAACCGACCTTCTTCGTCGCCTAGGGTTAAACTTCCACCATTCTTTAGCAGCAACTGGATAATTTGTAAGTGGCCCTTTTGCGCAGCTGACATCAGCGGAGTCATTCCATAGTAGTTAGCTTTCTTAGCATCTGCACCATGCTCTAGAAGAAGGCTGACAGCCTCTATGTGACCCTTTTCAGCAGCCATATGAATGGCTGTTATTTGGTCGTAATTTCCTCTTAAAACATTGGCTCCAAACTCTAATAAGCGTAGTATATTGCCAATTTTGCCACTCATCGCAGCATGGTGTAGTGCACTACATCCCTCAGCATCTTGCATCTCTAGCGAAGCACCTTTTTCAACAAGAAACTCAACAACGTCTACCTCATTAAAACCGGCTGCCAACATCAGGGGTGTCTCTCTATCCGCACAGAGGTCAGGCGACATTGAATCAACATGCTCACCACATTCTAGTAACCTGCGAAGATGCTCGACCTGACCCTTCTTTGCGGCCAAATGTAGAAGGGACTGGGACTGGAAATGCTTTGTAACTTTTTCAACGAATCCGCTGATCTGCTTATGCTCTTTAGAATCTTGCTGACGCAAGACAGTGTAAATAGATTTGCCAGCAAAATGGGTTGCGTTGCGTCCAATCTTCAAACTAAAAGCTATGGCACTGTCAAGTTTGTCCGGACTATAGTTTAAGATTGCGCTGACAGTCTCGACGTCTCCTTCAATGCACGCTGATTGTAGGCAGCTTAAACCAGTTTCTTTGTTTGGTGTAGTCAATAAATTAAAGGCCAAACTTTTCAAGGGCAGCTAAAAAATAATAAATACACAGTTTAACTTAATCGAAACCTCACAGTTCATTAGCAACAATAACAATACCGTTGGACCCCGCTAATTCGAACTCGGTTGTTTCGAATTCCTCGTTATTTCGAACAGAAAACTATTTCCCTTGGATTTGCCCTTCATTCATTTACTATCGGCCATTTCGAGCTCCCACTATTTCGAACTATTTCGCATCCCCTGAGAGTTCGAAACAGCAGGGCGCAACTGTGTAGTGTCAACTAGTAAAAGATAAAATATGAGAATACGTAAAACGATAGAATCAATAAAACAATAGCGGAATCAGGAACAAGTTGTTACGAAAAAAAAAAACAAGTCTTTAAAAGTACGTATTGTCCATTAGTGGAGAGAAGTCAATTGATTTATACTCTTGTAAAAATGTCTTAGGATTCAAAACCTGTTTATAAAGTGACTAAGCTTTGCCCAAGTGACAGGAACTAAATGGCTTATGTTGTGTTGACCATGTGCAACTTTTAGTTGTTAGAAACCTCGGTAAGACAGATTCTTAATTTCTACGAGAATACAGTACCGACTGTTGTAAACCACGAAAAGGTCTAAAAAGTGGGGGTCACGTACCGGGCTCGTTTTTGAGTTAGGAGCAGTGAACGCTAAAATTAAGGGTGTTCTCATCAGATCATATCATTACTATGGTAACCTATTGTGTCACGAAAATGATAACGTATTCACTAATGATGTAACAGTTTTTGGATACTATGATTGTAGCATCAACTAATAAAGAGTGGTTATAATGACTCATCAAAATCTACATCTTGATAAGTGCTGGAAACTGTTTTCAGCCACCTTAAGTTAGATTAAACCAAGGGGCATATACGTACATACAAGGAAGATTAGTATCTTTATAATGAGGCTTAAGCAATATTCCAAACGGACATTAACCGGGGGGGGAGGGGGAGAGAGGGAATCTGAGCTAAACGTCCAGTTTAGCAGGGAACAAGTGTAATAATAATAATAATAATAATAATAATAACGATAATATTATTATTTTTGTCCTTACTATTATATGTAATTTAATTACTTTTATAGCGCTATTTACGTATGCTGATACGAAATAAGAAAAAATATATTAAGTATAGACTTTTCTAAGACTAAATATTTTAATATTTGAGTAAGGGCCACAAAACTGTGTGTGATCAATTCACAGGGTTGTCATGGATGTTCTCATGTCATGGATTGCTTATGGCTCCTCCACCCTTTTAGGCACCATTTCTCAAGCTCATCTTTTGTTGATGAGTTTAATGGTTTGCTAATGTCACAGAAAAATCAAGGCAAACCAAGAGAGCAGATTTCTCGACATCAAGACATAATAATTCAAAGAGTTATGAATGAATATCAGTGAATTATGAAAGAGCATTGAAAGAGTTCTGAATGAATAATTATCAAGTATATGAAGAAAAGAACTGGTACAAAGATGCCAAAATACTAATGTTCATGATTTCATTACCCCATGTCAGTCCAGACCTTGGAGCAAATTAATTTAACGCACTAAAAATTGCATCAAACATGTCTCATTGTCCCCTGTACTCAGCACTACCAAGTATTATAGGTACGGGGTGGACTCTGTCCTCCCATATGATATGTGCCATTGAAGACCAAAAGAAACCCAGTCTACAGTACTAGGTAGGTAGGTCTGTTTAAGTTCCAGGCATCAGGCATCACTATAGTCAAGTGGTCAGTGTAAAATGCACACTGTGGACTGCAGACTGCAGATTGTAAAACGGGGATAAAATGCAAACTGAGGGTATAATGCAGACTGCAGAGCAGGGGTAAAATGCAGACTGCAGATGTTTTAAGTATACATCATATTATTTCCATTATTTGAGTGCTGACCATAAAATGGGTTATTAAGGCAAATCACAGTGAAAGCCTGCATTCTGATTAGACTGAATATCACTCAGGTTAGCCTGCCTAATGCTTCAGTTGGTGGCCTGTTTATGGTTAGCTCTCAATGCAGGGGAGAGGGACTGGTGTCAATTCTTGCCTTGATCACATTTGCATGTGCTCCAACAATGGAACCAAGCCATAAATGTGTGGGAGGTGGCAGTATTTTAGCATAATTTAATAAAAGATCAAGACCGGAAACAGAATGAACAGGTATGTAAACTAAATTATTACCATTGTTTTTCCAACTGAAGATGAAGAGCCTGAGAATATTGATGACAGCAAAGTAGTTCAGATTAAGGAGGAAGATCAGCTTCAACTGGAGGTTAATGCTACTACAGCAAAGATGAAACTACCAGTTGGTGGAGACAGTGACTCAGATAGCACTTTTGAGTCGGACAACGATTATGACTAACATTGTGTGCATTATACTCTGTAGTAACAGTCTGGCAAAGCGTTATATTGCTTCATGCTGGCTAACATGTCCTTGGCTAAAAGTCCTTTATTTACCCAATGCTGCAGTAGTTTAAATACCTTTTTTAGGTAACGAGCTGTTTTTAGTAGCTTTTAAAAGTCATGGAAACATGTGGAAATCAGTAATGGTTGTGACCATAGACTGACAGTAAGACAACAACAACATAGCAAGATAAACTTTCATATTTTTTCTAAACATTGTTTTCCTGTTTCATTTGATGCAATATGTCTGGACTTCAGCTGTGCATCTCCAAATGCTTCACATTGCTGTATACTGTATGTAATGAAAAAATTCCCAAGATTCAGTATTCTATGGTTTACGCTATCCTTATATTAAAATTGAATTTCACTTGAAAAACTAAATACAGTTGTCAGTAATGCTGTTGTTACTTAATCAATATTTAGTACTGGATTTGATACCAGAATGCAGGAAATGGCATTTCCAGGCTTCTAGATTCCAAAATTTTCGGGGGGAGCATGCCCTCATACCCCCCTAGGGGGAGGGACCTTACGACCCCTGAAGTGCTACCTCCTACTTCAGAACTTATTGAAACCCCTGCAATGATGGAAATGGTAATACAATTCAGCTACTAAAGTACTTAAGTCTGCATTTTACCCCCTGGTTACATGTACAGTCCACAGTCTTCATTTTACACTGACCATAATATTGTAGTCAAGACTGATTCCAGCAACAAATTCCTGCATTGCCTTGTCAAAATATTTTAAAATCTATTAATACACATTCATTTCAGTACTTTTACTGATAGCCTTACTGATAGGCTAAAAGCTTTTGTTACTTTTTCTGTGGATTTTCTGTTTAGAGCTGAGCCTTTGAATTTATACTTTCAGCTGTTGTGATTGGTTTGCTGCCTCATCTCATCTGAGAATAAGTAACTTGATCATGAAAGTACAATACATTTTCCTCTCTTTGACAAACTTTATTATAATTATTTCATTGGGGCCACTGTTTGTTGGAAGGATACACAAAAAGTTTGAAAATCACAAGCTTTTCTCATATTCTCCAAACATCCTACATACGTTTAATGCACCGGTAAACCTATAGAAAGAGTGGTCTATGATAGACTACAGGCAGTCTATCTTTTGCTCAAAAATCCACGAGCCAGGGAAGAATGCAAGAAACCTGATCAATTATATATTTATGGTATACATGTAAGCTTATGTGATAAGTTTTCATCTTACAAGTAGTAATTGCTGAGCTGCTTTAAAGGCCTGTCCAAATGGGAAATGTTTGGCAACCAAACATCATCAAACATTGTTTGGTGACCAAACATGCTGATGTTGAAGTGAGTGGCCAAACAGTTAAAACATGTTTGATCAAACACAGATCAAACTATGGATACAAGCTGCTGAGCAACCGTGGTACGCATGCATGCGCCAAACATGTTTGATACGGCTGTCCAAACGAACAAAACATCGCCCATCAAACATGAGAACAAAAGAAATGTTTTAAGTTGTTTGATCGAATGTTTGATGGCCTTCAAGTTTTATCAAACACGACCAAACATGATCAAACACGATCAAACAGCGCCAAACAAGGTGGCCAAATGGTAAAATGTTTGGTCACCAAACAATGTTTGATGGTGTTTGGTCGCCAAACATTTCCCGTTTGGACAGGCCTTAATATGATCACAGATGATAGCAAAAAATTAAAAATGATCATAAGGTGTGGAGAATGAGTGCTTTCAATAGGACCCGGTGCCCGTTTAAGTTCCGGCGAATTGCCATCTGTAAATATGTTTAGTTAGCAGTTTCCAGAACTGACCCTCAAAAGGAAGCTGTTATAAGCCGCTCCTATTGCTCTCTGACAGAGACTGTGCCAGGGTAGCAATCTGCTCCACATTTTATTGAAAGCACTGGAACATAGTTCTATTTTCTGTAAACTGCGATTTCAGGCAATCGAAGAGGCGTGTTTAAACATGATCACAGAAATTTTGACTTGGTCTCTGAGCTTGATCAACCCTGTAATCATTTGCGGTCACGACAAAATGATCATTACATGTGTCATGATCAGAGACACGTCATTATTGAACTGAAAAATCAAACCACCACCAACCTTCCAGAAATAACAAATCGAGAAATAGAACCTATGGAGTCAAACCTACAAATTCGGTAAGCTACGCGGTACCTGAAGTTTTGACTTACAATTACAATACAAAAAAATGAATCTTTCAAAACTTACCACTCGTCTTCCGATGGAGTTATTCATCGTTTCTGTGATACAATTAACTGCACAAAATGAAAAGGTGTGAGACAGCAGAATATTCCGGTTTCTTCGTAGTCAAAAAGTTTCTGTCTTGACCAGCGGTTAAAAATTCAGAGCGAAACGTCTTCTTGCTTGGCAACGAAGTGTCTTCCTCCCGGTTTTACTTGGTTGACTTAGTTCACTGACAAAATTGCCACCGATAAAGCTTTTTTGCTTATCAAAAGAACAAGACGATAGACGAAATTCTCTGATGGCCTCTGCATCACTTATGGAGTGGTCATGAAAGTGCCATGGGCATGTATCCTTTTCATATACATGTATTTCGTCATGCCTTGCAATTTCCGGTTCCAGAAATAGGACACCGTAAAATGGTCTGGTCCAGTCTTCTGTCGGCCACGGAATCAATAATGGCGACTTTGTAATATTTCTTGGGCCTCAGCAGATTTTATTTCGTCGTTTTCTCCCGAGTGATAGCAGCATATTGTTCGTGTTACGAGTATTTCTAGCGTTGGTGCGATCGTTGAAGTTATGTCATCGGCTATCAAGCCACTTTTTAAGGTTCCAGGGCCTTTACGGCCGAAAACTTCGCTCGTAACGAACGACTACGATCTTTCACAGAAAGTCCTAGGGGTGGGAATAAATGGCAAAGTGTTAGAGTGTTTTGAAAAGAAAACAGGCGGAAAGTTCGCCTTGAAGGTGAGTAGAATTATTGTAAGGCATGCTAACTGGGTCATACATGTAGAGATCTGAAGTTCTTCGTAAATTTTGCAAATTTATGAATACTCAAGCGATTTGCATTGGTGAAGTGAAAATACAAAAGCTACATCACGATTGATCGATGACGGCGAAACGACAAATTATACTTGTACTTCTCCTTATCTTTGAATTCGCTCAATCTTCTCTTTCCTAACTGTAGTTCCTTCTTATTCTTCATGTCAATATTCGAGAGCATGGTTTCAGTTTATGTCGTCAGTTCATGAAAACCTTTCAAATTGCATAAGCTTCTCTGCACCTTGAGAATTTGTTTGCTTTTGCCCGATCTCAACATTCTGTAAATCATAATCTCGTTAAATTTTTGTCTCTGCATAATGTTCATGTTCTGGATATACAAGGTAAATATTGCACAATGCAGCGATGACAGATGAAAAAATTTAATTAGGTATTTTAAGCCCACTTATTTTTAAACAGATTGAATGGCTGTTATTGCAGTTGAGTCTAGGGTCAAATATTCTTTTGTTGAAAAAGGCATGCAAACGAGGTGAAAAATTCAGTAGAAAACAGAATTTATCCTTGAACCTCATTTGTCTGTCAAACCCCAGCTAACAGTGACAAAAGCTATTGTAAATGAATTCGAGATAGAGTCCTGTTGCTCATTCCATCACTGTTATTTAACTGGTATATGTATATGTATGGTGTATGTATCAAATTGTAAAAGATGATGCTGATGTAATGTAAATATTCAGGAAAAACTCATGTTGTCACTTAATGCGGATTCTTGCAAGTGAAATAAATTGAGCTTTGACTCTTGTACATTTTGTACCTTCTGCTCTTCACACCCTGGTTTTGAGCTTCGCAGACATTCTTCACTTTGGAGCTTGGCTTTGACAGCTCAACTTCTCGGCAAGTCTTTGGAAACCCTACCAAAAAGAGTAGCAATACTCCTAATCACTTGATGCTTTAGAAATGAGAATTGTTTTGTTGACACCTCTAGTGATCACCAATGTTGTTGATGCAACAGTGTTGTCGATTCCTCCTTTGATCACCAGTAGTAGAACATCCTTACAATTGCAATCCTTCACCTGCATTTTGTGTATTTGCATGTAGGTTTTACAGGACAACGTTAAAGCTCGGAGGGAGGTGGAACTTCACTGGAAGGCTTCAGGCTGCCCATATATTGTTGGTATCAAAGATGTTTATCAGAACAAGTATGCAAGGAGTGACTGTCTGCTGGTCATTATGGAATGGTGAGTTCAGTAACTGAGGAAGAAAACTTGAATGGCTTCTAACTTTTGGAAATAGTGTGCTGTGTTTTACATGTAAGGTGGCTGGTAAGCTAAAGGTAATTAGTCTACGTACGAGCCAAGTGGCCTATCAGGCCAGTGCTAATCTCCGTTCTGTAGCATGAAGTGACAAGGATAATTTCTATTTTTGTTCTCCCCCCAGGGATGGGATGCCAGTTCCTTGCAGGGTTACCCCCTATTATTAAAGTCGCTGACACCCATTTATACACTTGGGTGGGGAGAGGCATGGTGAGAGTAAAGTGTCTTGCCCAAAAACACAACAAAATGTTCCCAGTTAGGGCTTGAACCAAGATGGCTCAATCTGGAGTTGAGCATACCAATTGTAAGGTCAAGAAACTAGTTTTGCAAATAAGAGGCTAGTCTTTACCATGGCTGCAGTCACATGGTATATTTGTGGACAATACATTTGTCACAGATGACAGTCATGTGATGTTTTCGTCTGTTGTAGCATGACTGGAGGGGAGCTTTTTGAAAGAATTCAACAGAGAGGTGATTCTCCCTTTACTGAAAGAGGTAGGTGCATACATGCAGGAGTGTAGAGTGCATAGCAAACATTTTGCAGTTCAATTTTTAATCTAGTTTCATCAGTGAGGTTTGATCTCCTTTAGTTGATAAAGTCATCTACCATGTAACTTACAAACTGCATTCAAACCAAGAAGGAGAAGGTATATTTCATATTTAATATTGTGTGATTTGGTTTTCAGAGGCAGCTGCCATCGTTCGTCAGATTACTGTAGCCACAGCACATCTTCATTCACTGAATATTGCACACCGGGACTTGAAGGTGTGAAGTAGTTAACTCTTACCTGAGGCAGAATAAGAGAAAAAAATATGTTACTTCCTCTTCAAAGTGTACAATGTTAAGCACAGTCAAAATTTTGTTTATTGAATTAAACATTTGTTGTCAGCTTTTTTCATTTCACTGTCAACACAGGCATGGATGCATACCGGTTTCCACCATTTCACGTTAATTAGTCAGATTTTTCAGAATAACTCAGAAACCCAGGAAAGAGGCCTTAGAGGAGTTAAAATCCAAACATTTCCTGGAGGACCATGACCCTGGACATATCTAGAAGCTTGATCCTTTAGCACTCCATGTTTCAAAATTGGACATAATTTATCCTACTGTAGATCTGCATCTGTAACATTCAGTGACATGTACATTGTATGGACCATCTACCAGGAAAAGGGTGGTTGCTGGAGAGAGGTGACCTTTAGTCACGGTTCAACTGTAATCAAAATTGATGCTCTCCAAACCATAGCATGTATGCACATATTACAAACATAACTCTATTTTTCATTAACAGTTTCTTTATATTTTGTTATTTGAAGCCGGAGAACTTGCTGTATGCTGATCATTCTGAAAATGCACTTCTGAAGTTGACTGATTTTGGATTTGCTAAGGAGACCACAGCTGGTTTGGATCTCAAAACACCTTGCTACACTCCTTATTATGTTGGTATGTAAACACACAACTGAAAGTGCATACTGTGGACTGTACAAATTTTGCGATCTAAATAAACATCAGGTTACGCTTTTGGGCATTCTCCCTCCTCATTTTCCTCAGTTTACTTTCCTCCTGTTTGCTGGACCTCATAGAAGATGCTCAATTTGAAATAATGTTCCACCTCTCAGATTGAGGTACCATTGTGTGATGGCTATGCTTTCCTTTGGGCAGTTTTCATAAAATCTTGCTTTCTCTCCNCCCCCCCCCCTTCCCTCATGCCACCCCTTCCTATCTCATGTCCACTTTCTTCCTTGAGCAGCGATCAAGCAAGTGAGTAATGTAGTAATCAAGCCCATTTTCATAAACATAAGATACTTCAAAATACAACTTTATGCTTAACATAGACTTAATGTTAGAGATCTCATCCTTCCTAGATGCCTTTACTGTACATACTTTTGTTAGGACATCCACATTTAAATTATGCTTGATTTGATTTGTTTCTACATGTAGCACCTGAAGTTTTGGGTCCAGAGAGTTATGACAAGATGTGCGACCTTTGGTCATTAGGAGTCATAATGTATATTCTGTAAGTATATTTTTCTCCACTATTTTTTTGGTTCTGGTGAATTTTTGATTAATTGAGCAAGGAAAATGTTTCCATGATTTCTTTACTCTCGCCTTGACCTCATAGTTGATGAACCTGCAGAGATTAAACAGTCTACTTTAATAGTAAATTTGCTTAAAAGAGAGCTTACTGTCTTTTCATTCTTGATACTTGTTCATGAAAATAATGTATTTTTCCACATTTGCTGAATGTTAAATTCCACATTTGCTCATTGTATTGTACAGTTTTTGTTTTTGTTTTTTTGTTTTCATTTTTTGCAAATGCCTTCTTGATGTGTTTTGTCAGCCTTGGTTTCTTTTTATAATTTATATCTTTAAACAGTTTTCAGAAATTGTATTGCTGCAAATAATTGTATTGGTAACTATATAAATACATAGTTGTAAATAAATACATAGTTGTAGATGGAAAATTGTCTGACTACCAGGAGTATTAAAAAAAAAACGGTGTCCAAATGTGTGTGTGCAAATAGTATTTCTTTCTCTCCATATCTTTCTATACTTCCATCCTCCAAGTAAAAACCAAAGCAAATATTTAGCATGAGTGCTGTTGCTTTTGGTTTGTAGGTTGTGTGGTTTTCCACCTTTCTACAGTAACCATGGAGCAGCCATTTCTCCTGGGATGCGCAAGAGAATAAGACAAGGCCAGTATGACTTTCCCAACCCTGAGTGGAGTAGAGTGTCTTTGCAAGGTAAATAAATTTCTCAGTCATTGCTGGAAGCTGTTTCAAAGGACTGAGTGTTGTACATGTATTTAGGGGTTATTGACCAAGTGTGAGGTCAAGATGGCTGGATATTGGCCAAGTTCTTTGTCTGCGTGTTTATGGACTGAGACGGAGTCGAGGTCCATAAACTCGCAAAGAAAGAGCAAGGCCAATATCCAGCCATCTTGACTGAACGAGCTTGGTCAATAAAGGATTTATTATATGGCTTTCGGGAAAATTTTTTCTTGTGGGACATGGCGGCTAGTCCCGAGAGGGCAAGATAGCTCCATCTTGCCCACTCGGGTAGCCAATCACAGCGCAGGATTTCATTCATCTTGCCCGCTCACCGAGCTAACCGTATAATAAGTAAGATTCTCAGACCTTATTGTATTGGAGGAGGGAGGGGCAGAATATGGGAGGAGGAAGAAATGGCCCGAAAAAAGTTGGGAGGAGGGAGAAAAGAATTGTTGTGAGTAGGGAGAACTGGATGAACCTGGATGGGGAAATAATTTTATGGAATATTTAAAGTAGGGAGGAGGGAAAAATTGGCTCAAAAAGTAGGGAGAAGGGAGATTTCCCCCCCCCCCCCCCCCGTTCCTCTCCCCCCATATTGGATGATAAGCAGTATTCATTAGGGTAAAAGAGTGCAAATGTTTGCATTTGGAGAGCACTGAAAAGGTTTCCAATTCGTATCATACAATCAGAAAATAGAGTGAAAACTCGGGAAGAACACGGTACGTGGCATGACGTGGACACGTTGCAGCGTTGCCTTTAAAATTGCAAAGAAACCTAAAAGGGGGACCTGGGTACTAGGAGATTTTCCTCGCACATTTGAGTGAGAACCAGGAACGCATGAGAATAGCTCCTGTCAAGTCGCGAATCAATTATACTGTATTTCTCTTTTATCTAGTTATCACTCTTTTGTACATGTATTTATTTGCTTGATGTCTTTCGTCACCAGCCAAAGAGTTGATTAAAGGTCTGCTGAGAACAGACCCACAGAACAGGTTTACCGTGGAACAAGTGATGAATAATCCTTGGATCAAGGTGTGTCTTAAAATTACTCAGATTGTTATCACGATAAAGTTCTTGATAGTCCACATGATACTCTTAAAGCATGGCTTTTTTTATTTGACTAGAGCCCTTGCCTTCTTCATTACACTTACATGTATATGGGTCGTCACGCGAAGTTTTTCAACAAGCTTTGCGTGACGACTTTAATTACATCACGCAACACTGTTTAGGAGACTACATGTAGTAGTATTTAGTTGTAGGGTGCCAGGCGTGCGTATGTATACATGTACGTGTAAATTGTTGTTACATCAGGAATTAAGCCACTTTCTCAATTTTGTGAAGTCTTTCACTTTATCTAATGGCTTTTGGGCAAAAAGTAGCTCATCATTATTTCATTATGCCTACATTGTGCAGGCCTACAGCGAGGTTCCTTCCACGCCACTTCACACCGCGACTGTGTTGAGAGAGGAAGAGGAAAACTGGCAGGATGTGAAGGTATGTGAAGGTTTAAATCCAACTTGAAGTCAAAGTTTCCAACCATTATTTGTCCGTCAAGAGTTGTACAGATACAACCAGGTGTTGCAAAATGATCTGATCTTTGCTTTAGATGACCCTTATTACAAAGCCACTATACTACTCAGTTTGGTGTAATTTAAATGTAAACTCTTTTCGTAAAGATTTATCCCTTTCTGCTCTGAATATGTTAATGACACATTTTTATTTAGAACAGAATGGTTCGGTCCGTACAACGTATATCATGCACATTTTAGCTACCCCAGAAAAGCTGCCCCTAAAAAGTTGCGAACCCTCCGATAGTAACGATAAGAAAAGTCTTTAAGCCCGAAAATAGCAAGCAAGGGTCGTTACGTTTGGACCGTTACGGAATGGTCAGGAATCGTCAATAAAAACTCGGTGAATTTTTGTTTTCGTCAGAGTGTTACATGTATCTTTTCTGAAACTTAGTGTATTTGCATATTTTGGACTTAAATAATTTCTTTTTGCGTTTTGTGACTCCATGATAACCGATGAAGACTAAGGTTCCTCTGTCGAAATGTATATTTAGTCTTTTACGAACTGTTGTTTTGATGTTTACTTTTTAAGCCAGTGTTTAACCATGCCATCGTATTTTTAGTAATAAATCGAGGCTGCAATTTAAGTATTTTTCGTATGAAAACAATACAATAAACTTCATTTAAACACGGTGAGAATTAAAGCTGCAAGTTTGTGGTGCCGAGTAGAAAATAAAATTTAAAAAGACAAATAAAAGAAAAGTAAAATTTTTCCATAGAATGACAATTACTTATCACAATTAAAATACAATACAGTTATAAATTACAATTTAAAATGAACTACGAGGCAACTTATGTTTGGTTGTAGTGATGTTTGCAGTTTGTCTTTTCAAGGCATTATCCGGGCGAGGTGATGAATAATGCATTACTTTTCAACTGTCTTGCTTACAGGATGAGATGACTAACGCCTTAGCTTCTATGAGATTCGAGCCAGACAAGGTAGCCAGACTCAAAGATGTCGGCAAATCCAGCAACGCCTTGTTAAACCGAAGAAAAAAGTAGCTGTTAACATAAGTGTAATGTGATACAGCATGTAAAAATCAATCCCAGTCTGAGTTAAAAGAAAAGGCTCTTTGCACGTTTATTTTCATCACCCGCTAGAGAAACGTCTGAGATTCTAGCAGAAAAGATTCCATTAAGTTGGCGTGGCTCTTTAGAGGTGGCGTTGTTGATTGGCTGTTGCTAGGTTACGAATTTCGCGTGCGAGTGATAACCAATCATCAGAGACAACACGTCAAAGCAATCTTGGCTCGAATCTCAGACTCTTTCGCGGGAGACGAAAATACTTGAGCCCGGGGCCGTAACCAGAAAAAAAAGAACATTGGCTGAGGCAATGTCTATGGTTAAATTCTCTTTCTAAGTATTTAGCAGTGTTTTACTTTCCCCCACCGAAAAAAAGTCAAGTGCCCCGATTTGCTTCACACTGTCTACGGCCCTGGACCCCGCTTCGAACGACTTGGTTGTATCAAGCTGAGTCAACTCAAATATGCTAGGTTTTACAATTTGCGCATTTTGGTAGTCTAGCAGAATGTGTAATAGGCGAAATATTTATGAAGTTAGTATTCAATGGGCTTTAGTTTGTTAGTTAGTAGTGCAATCATTCTATATTCCTCCTGTATTTTCTCTTCAAAACTATTGTTTGGTTGGCAACCACATCTCGGAACTGTCCGTGCTAACTGAATAGGGTTTCTAAAACCTCAGTTATGTCTTAAAGTTTCAGCCATTTCTTAGGCGTATTAAGAAATGGTCTTTTGTTCCGGCTCAACATCTCACATCAAGCAAAATTGAATAGCCTTTTGTTCTTGGTAGCCCTGAGGGACTTCGTCCGAAGCCGAGGCAAAATCGTCGCCGTTGTTCGGAACATTTTCGGCACAACAATGAAGCTGCTCTGGGGGGTGGGCAACTTAGGTTTTTTCTCTCGTAAAGTCAATTCTCATCGGTGTACCCCAAAGCAAAATTGACCGCCGCTGTGCGCATGGTGATCACAATTCAAAAACTAATTATCCTCATGTGTCGCGTTCGGGCCAAATCTCATCTCGGCAGATAGAGCAGATTATCTTCGGTGCAGATAGAGCCGTTGTCAATTGAGTGTCGTAAAACCAAACCCAAAGTAATAACTCTGGCCAGCCACAAAGAACACAGACAATCGAGTGAACCAATCAAAACTCGTAGTAAATACAAGTAGCTGACGCGAAGCGCGGGAAAACGTGAGTGTTTTACTTCTGATTGGATAAAAAAAGGGGCAAGATTTTTTTTTAAGCCAATCGTGTAGCGTGGTGATGCAAAAGCAATTACTTTTCGACACTCAAGGGAAAGCCTCTCAATCAGATCTCAACGATCAGTTAAAAAAAAACGCGTTATTTCTTATCCGACCGCTAAAATTTTCGACAAGTCTCAGCCATCAGTTAAAACCAGACTTGTTAAATCCCATCAAGGCCTTCTTAAAACAAAAATCAACGGGTCAGCAATGCCTCTAATTTTATATACGATAGTGTTTTACTGTTTATAACTGATAAAAGAAGTCGGAAGTTGCAGAGAGGTAGTGGCCCACTGGTTTCTGAGGTTCATCCGAGCCCACGGTCTTTGTTTTGTAGTCAGCGTTGTTGCCATGCAACTGAGAGTATCCTTGCTGACTTCAGCTTGAAGAACAATTATTGGATATTTTTTTACGGTAGTCCCTTTTTGGTGAATGATTAAAAAACTTTCTCAATTTTCTGATCTCGCCAAGTGAGTTTAAATTGTAGAATACCAGCCCCAAGATCTGCAACGAGCCCAATCTTCTCGCCTGTCGATACCATATCAGTGATTGTCAAGCGTCAAGGTGGTGAGAAAAAAAAAAGATCCGCAACAAAGTATATGTGTTGATGTATTTCCAGTTTCTCAGAAATAACCTTAAAGGAACGTATCGCAATTTGTAATGAGAATTGAATTTGATCACTGGAGAGAAATGTGTGTTTTGCCCTCAGAAATCTGAATTTTTATTGCGCCTTACATAAAGGGCAGCATCTACTAAAATTACTGACTGGGATGGGGGTGAGTAACTGATTTTTAAAATACTTGTAGTTGAATAGAAGTATGTGTCCTGTAACTTACAGAATTGGCAAGAATTTTGTGGTCTGCCTCTTGCCTTTCAAACGTATCTCGATGAGGTTGAGTTAGATCTGATTCAATCTCGTTTCAAATTTTCAAATTTTATCATCAATTTATAATCAATATCGTTGTTTATATGACCAACTGATGTTACTCAAGAGCAAATAACTTACTGATAAGTTAAGCAGCACCTCAATAAAAGTTTGCTTGACAAAGGCGCTTGCTTTTGTTGCTGTCGTTTTTTTCTCTGTTTCTTAAGCTAGTTACTAGACCAAGCCCCTTTGTTCCTAATCTAGCAGGGCTAGACGCAGCTATTTTCAGACTAATAATACATTAGAAAAAATAACTCAATTCTTTTTGGTTAAGAGCAGTGCAGTTCAAGTGTAACACCAGTGCAAATTACAACGAAGATATCCGAAGTTATTACGAAGACAAACTAAAAGTATCGACGGTCATCCGAGGTATATTTCGAAAGAAGTCAAAATTCACAAAGCCCTCCAAAGATAGCCGAAGATAATTATACGTTTTCCGAGCACCCTCGAAGATCACTAAGATTTTCAAAGAGTTGCGAAGAGCACGATCGGAGGTTTGCAACCTGCCTAAATAGACAATGCAAAGACCTTCAATAGTCTATTGTCGAGAGTATATTATTAACAAATAATCACATGATTATTCTTGTGTAATTTGGAATAAATAAGCTCTAGTAAATTTTTCAGACTACAAATTTGGTTATGTTTTTTTCCAAATTGCACTCGAAATCATTTCATTTATACGAGAAAAATAAGCCGCGGCTTACACAAGTCGCGTAAGACAAGGTTTTGAGCTCGGCTTAAATAAGCCGCGGCTAATATAAGACACGAAACCACTCGTATAAATGGTATCACGGCAACGGTCTGCGGCTTACGTAGGAGGCGAACTCACACTGTGACAACCAACACAAAAGCGAGGCATAAGTCACGACTTAGCCGTGAACCATTTATACGGGCACTTCGCGTCTTATATAAGCCGCGCTCATGTAAATGGACCAGTTCGCGTCTTATGTAAGCCGCGGCTTATTTTCCTCGTATAAATGGCCCTATTATTGTGATCACCTCGGAGTGCTGCAGAATATGCCAGCTGCAATTTAAGTGTGTGCGTGTCTGTATTTTTTTTTTCTCTACCATATGATTTCACTGTCTCCCTTCCGAGTAGTGTACCTGACATATACCCTCTTTCAAGGTAAGGATCCGTAGGGAAGATATTTGGATCTTTTAATCTTGTGGGAAGAGTCATCAGCTCCTGACAAAGAATATAAAATAAAGATGTTTCTTTTATAAGCCATACCCAAAAGGCCATTTCCGAGTGTTGCCTTCTTCCTGTGTGTCAAAACGAATATTCGTGCGAAACCATTCATGTGAAAATGTGTTCCGCCCAACAGGTTCGTTTTCATGTATAAAATCAAACTCATTTTTATGTGAACGGTTTTGCACGGAAACTCGTTTTACAAGGTAACTCAGAAATGCCCCATTACCAAGCTAGCACAATTCACAATACGTACTTTAAAAGGAATCGGCGCAAACATGACACCCTTTGGTGTCACAGCTGTTGTTTATCGCACTATGAACTTCCAAATCCTGAAGTTAACAAACACGTTTTCTGTTAGAGTATCCTAGTTTTCTTCCAAGAACTAAGTTGTATACAGCACAGCCAGGTAGCAGGGAAACATGTCGATATTCCGCAATCCAAATAGAGAGAGAGATGAAGAAAATATCGATTTCCAAAAAAAGGAGATTTCTTGGTTGTTAGTCGAAGGAATTAATAACTGTTGTTATGCTAAAGGTGTCAGTAAAGTTATATTCTTCAACTATTAACCAAAGCTCGATGTTCAAACTAAACGTTTCTCCATGTAAAAAAAAGGTAAAAATCAGCAAAAATAGCAAAAATTTTAAATAACCACAACAGTGCAAACTGTTGATTTATCTGCAATCTCTCTTTGGGCGTTTAGGACACTTCCGTCGCATGTAGTTTTGAATATGAAATAGGTAACTTATTTACAGAGTGCAGCTGGCCCTGGTCGAATCTCAGCCTAATTACCGAAAATTTGCTACAAAGAGTATAATCGATTCGGTATCAGCCCCACAAACAGTTAATAGGCCGTCTCCTGAAGATCAAATTCAGAACTCCCAGACTTTGTTATTTGAAGCCAATTTTTCAGGATCGCTCATGTGAAATACTGATTTGCTCCTCAAATTACTTTGGAAGTGACTAACAATCCGCCAAGAAATCACATTTTACAGCTGCTGTTAGTGCTGAAAAACATCCTTACCTAACAACGAACTCGGTGAAGCATTTCCTTCAGTAACGGTGAGATATTATTTCCTATCTGTATTTTACACAGTTGTGGGGTAAAACAAATCCGAAATTTTTATATCCTTCATTTATGTGCATCGATAGCCTCACTTATGGAAGTCCAGGTCACTCCATTAACCTCTTGCTCTAGAGAAATGAAATTTCTTAACACATAGAAAACATTTTTCGTGTTTGTATCCGATAACAGACTAAAACACGAATTGGAGAACGAGCTACAGGCTGCTGCTGTTTTGATCGACTGATGTACAACTTTTTATGGTTCTCCCAAAACCGATCCACGAATCTTGTTTTCTCGAAGAAAGTGTATTCTATTTCTTTTACTGAGAACTGAACAATAAAAAGAAAGGAAAGCACTCGTTCATTTGGATTATCAAAATCAGCAGAAACTTTCCTTAAAACTTAAGTGGCTGTTCATTTATCCCTCGCAAAAATTTTGATGAGGCGACTGTCTCTTTAGGCAAAGTATTTTGTCGTGCTGGTCGTGCTAAATTTCGTCTTTTTTTTTTACAGAATTCGTCGTTTTTTACTACCTTATTTGAGAGCATTGTAGAATTAGTACTTTTTACATTCCATTCGAATTTTTATCGAATTTTTTATCTGTTGCTTTTAGTTTTATTCATCACTCTGAGTGCCGGCCTTAGTTTTTTGTACTACTTGACTCAGGTTTGTAGAGAAGCGAAAACCAGCTGCACAACCCCTTGCACGTATTCACCTTCTCACATAACATCGGAACCTTTACTGCAAAGGTTTTAGTAGATTAGATATGACACCTCAAACCCGCCCCCACCCCCCTTCCCCAATAAAAGCCGTCCACTTCTCATGTCGAAACGATAATCTCCCAACTTGCTTTCTATCATCAAAGTCATTTATTAACATGAAATTAATTCTTATAACTGATTGGCAGACGAATTACTTACTGGATAACATCTCAAAGATCGCGCGACAGCGAACCCCACTGAGTTTCTCTGTGTTAGACAGGTAAGAGATTTCTCCAGGATTTTTTCTTTCTTCTACCGTAGACATTTAAAAATTCATCTGAAATATTTAGGTGTTTCACTTTAGAAACTAACTTAGAAAGACTTGATTTTATGCTCAGTGATACCATAACTTAATTAAGGAAAGTTGATATGAAAAAACAAATCGAGCGTATCAAACTGGTCTTGATTTGGCCAAAAAAACCACTATGCTATAAAATTGTTTTTGCTCTATCTTAGCAGGATGGATTTTTCTGTCTATACGTCTTTTTAGCGTCTATAAGTCCTGAATATCAATAGGAATATATGTTTGTGCATTTGAAAAACAGAATTAAATACTTAAAAACTGAAAAGTAGACATTGATGAGAATTGCAAACTGTAGATTTTTCCTCATTGTATATGGATCAATAAGTTACTAAATATACTTGCAAGTCTAATAAGCAGAAAGGTCTCTGATTAGTCCCTTGATCGGGACGAAGACAAACTGCGTAAGACTAGCCACGAACAAAAACCGCCAACTTCAATTTCGGAAACTGCTGACAATGATTAATCGAACATGATTTTCTGAATGACTGCACCAGAATTTGGATTTTTTCCCGGTCTTTCCCCAAATTTTGATTAAAGAGAAAGCCAACTTCTCGATGGTAAACACTTAAATTCCGAAATTCGTTCGCCGGAGATTATCCGTCCCACGTATTTCTTCGGGAATTTTTGAAATTTCAGCTGACAGATTTGCATGCATTTCGAAACCTCGGCATCGGTCAAATTTTCTGGAAATTCTTCCTCGTTTGCACCCGTTTCAATGGTCACGTAACGTTTTGGCCACGTATCTGCGTCTGAAAAGCGGCCCAAAATAAACCCTTTCTACCTGAACGATATCAGTTTTATCGTAGTGGGTCACCCTCGATTTTTCGATTCTCTCGATAACTCGAACCAAAAGTCGTTTCTCTCCCCTCAGTCGAACACCAGACCAATTTTCGTTTCCCTGGGAGGTTGGAAAATTCGGCATTCCGCTGTATATTTTACGAGATGTTATAGTGTTGGCATAATTTACGAGACTAGATTTGGTGTATTATCGCTAGTTATTATTTGGCTGTGTTTCACAAGGACTGGTAACTACCGAATTCACGAATTTGATTGGCTGAAATCGATATTGACCGCGTTCTAGATTTTCTCATCTAGACCGGCATCAAGACCGATTACGTTTTGCAGTGGAAATGTTGCAAACTAAAATACAAAAATATTGACTGTTTTTAGTGGAAATGACGAAAAGCCTGATGAGGAAAAAAAGGTAAAGAGGACGAGCAAACTTTGTAAGGTCCACAAGCAAAATGTGAGCTAGTACAAACCAGTTACATTAAACGAATTAATTTTTTCTTGTTTGCCATATGATAAACATCTTATTAACCGAGCTTAGTCGGTCTATGTGGGAGAATCTTGACCTCGGTCGTGTGCACTGACCTCACTGCGTTCGGTCTGTACTCACGACTTCGGTCAGGATTTTCCCCATACAGACCTCCTGCTCGGTTAATGAGCTAAATACAAACTGACCAGTAAAATGTAGACGCTATCCGCTAAAATATAGTAACTTAAAGAGATCTGTTACCCAATATGTTTCTAAAATCAACTTGAACCGTGTTTTGTGTTGCAACCGTTGAGTGGATATTTTATAGGGAGCTTAAGAAAACCACGACGGCAACGGCAACGTCGCTAAACAAAAGCTTTAGTGATAACAATGGCTGTGCAAGTGCGTTATAATTCTTTGTACATTTCTTTGCCGTAAAATGACCAAATTCTGCGTTGTCTGGAGAACGTGAACCACGACGGCTAATTTTCTAAATTTTTATCTCGAATTTGTCGATGTGTCCTAGATTCAGTTTCGTGATAGCTTTGACAGCGATAAACAAAGTAAATGACTTCAGGGTATCGCGAGATTCTTAGGTAAAATATAAAATCATTTTTTAGTCGACGTTGTCCTCGCCGTCGCCGTCGTGGATTATTCTTAAGCCCCTAATGTGATATATAAACCTGTTTTCCTTCATATAGGGGAAATCTGCAGATGTCTTTTTGTCATTTATGGAGGGCCAGTTTGGCTAGGTAGTCTATCACCTAGCGTGCGAGTAGGAACGTAAAAATTTTCTCTCATTCCGCCACACAAAACCGCGCAATTTTCTCGCATCTCCTGTAGATTCACAAGGGGGTTGTTAGTTTGTTCCTTAGCCATTTCCCGGCACAATTTGTGATCAGCTGAAGTTGAAGGCTGAGCGGGAGTCAGTATGACAAACAGGGCGTGCAATGGATGATGTCTATGACTCTAAATAAATATTGCGTACATAATTGACTAGAAGAGAAGCAATATTTACCCTTAAAAGATGCAGCTTAGTAAGCTGAAGACAAAGGAAACGCCCTTGCTGATATAACAAAGTTTGTTCTTCTCAGTGAGTGGTTTGTGAATTCCGCGACTCTTTATATACGACTCAGTAACTAGCTGCCAGCTACAGATGAACACCACGTGTGCAAACAAATCCCTAGCACCAAAAATCAATAGCAGCTACATAATTGTAGGCACCAAATATTTACCCGTAGGAAATGTGACTTTTGTCAACCGAAGAAAAAAGGGGCGCGTTGTTGAAATAATGACCCCAATTCGGCTCAGCAAATTCACGCGATTCTCAAAATTCTGCAGTTGGGCCTGAGACTCAGTAATCATATTTGTCTTGGTATAAGCCGCACTCGGGAGTAAGTTCTGATTCGAAAAAGGGTTTCCCTAATAAAATATCAAAAAAACGCCTCATGAAATTAATTGACGAAATTCGCGTCAATGTATAAGTCGGAGTGATTTCTGTTCACGTTAATTTCCGTGTCATTGAAAAGTGGAACGTAAACTTCCGTGACCTTAATTGTCATTATTATTTTCTTTCCAAATTCTCGAAACCTTGTCACGCCAAGCTCATGAAGGAATTTTACGAATGGCTTAGAGCAGAAAAAGGAAAAAGCATGATTTTATCAGGGTAGAGATCCACCGGTAATAAGGACACTGTAAAGAAAGCTTGAAGTGGCAAGATTGCTTCGCTAAGCCTCTATACGTTTAGAAACAATTCCATGAATATCGCTTGCATTTGGGAATTTACTCTTAGTTAAAATATTTGTTCCTTTGAGTAATAAGTCGCGTTGAATTCCCTCATTTTGAAATTTTAGCAACTCTTTCCCGTCAGTTTCCTTTATTGGGTAGTAATATTCCTTCAGTTCGCATTAATTTAAGTCGTGTTAATTTCGAATGCCTTAATTAACAGTAACGTTAATTTCCTATAATAAGTTAAGGTATATGTTTTACATTTTGCTCTAAGGTAGGGTACTGAATGATTACTAGATTTAGTTAGAATTTTAAGCGTGCAGACACGAATATCTGAAATAGGGTCCTTCGGATTATGGAGATTAAGACTGAAAGAGGATATGGAAAATCGTATAGTGTTAATTCCGTAACCTGGTTACGGGTTAATGAAGCACAAACCACTTCATAGTTTACGAAAATTACCTTCGAGAACTACAAAGGATCTTCCAGCCGTCTGCAGCTGTTGGAAGCTATTTAGCTATTTGACAAGTATCACGCGTGGTTTACTCAAAAACCCCTCAAAGTTCAGCTGGGAGGAAATTGCTTTCTGCAAAAACGACCCCAAACACCAATTTGGATACACATCAATTGGCAGAGAACTGAAACGTTTCGATTGCCTTTGTATACGTGTTTATTTTTGCAGTCAATATTTTAGTGAGTGTTTGCTCCTAGCAGTTTTAATTAATAGAGACAAGCAATTTGAATGCAAATCAACGCCACAAACCACGACAGTTTTTCAATGGCTTCAAAGACACGCAATATACTTTGTACAAATGTATGCTAGATAGAAAAAAATGACATTCTATATTTTTTCGCAATAAAAAAAGAAAAGGACGATCAGTGACAATCTTTTAAGAATATACTTTTCCTGTTATTTTAACACGTTTATCACAGTACGGTCTCTTTGTTAATTATATGCTCATTCTCGCTTCCTCCGCACAAAGTGTTTCGCGACGATTTTCGATACGAGAAAACCTTTTTGAAAGAAGAAAATGTGGGCGAGGAATTTGCAACTCTACACGGAAAGCGCGAACGAAAATCCGTACTTACAGTAAACAAAATGATCGGATTAATAACATGTTTTACATAATACAAAGCCAGAAAAACGAGGTTGGTATATTTAAAATACACATTTGTCGTTACGCCACGCGCGAACTCGTAAAGTAACATGATAACTCCTCTTGGAATGTAACAAACTTGGAAAAAGATGATGAGAATTATTGTCACCCGAATCAGTCGTCTTCTTTTGTTCTTTCTGCCCCGGTTGTCTGACCTGGTAGAGTCTCTAAACGACCTCTGGAAGGAGTTCTTCCGCCTTAAGTGGTGAAGGAGTCTAGAATAGCAAAACGTTTGCAGAAAAAGGGGTAGTGCTATAAAAAACGCTACCAGGTAAGATTCGTAGATCTGCCGGGAAATGTCCGATCCAAAGGACGCTAAGCATAGAGACTTTCCTTGAATCGTTATCACGTCTAGAGATAAGGCAATGGGCAAACCGGTGCCAAGATAGGCAACTACCCACATAAATATAGCAGAGATAGTTACGCTCTTTAAAGTTAGTTTGGCTTTAAAAGGTGTGATAACGGCCCTGTGTCTTTCCCAGGCGATTATCGTGTAAGTTAGAACAGACACCACAACAAAAACATCCTGTGTTGGTGCAAGAAGACGGCAAATGAATTTGCCCAGCGGCCATCCGTAGTAAATTTCCACGATCCTCAAGGGAGCTGCCAAAAGCACCACACAAAGATCTGCCACTGCATTGTTGGCGATGAGATAGTTGCATGGGGTTCTCATATCTTTCCAGCGAAGCACAGTGTAAATAAGCAGCGCGTTTCCGACAAATCCAACTACAATGATCAAACTAAATAATGGAGGTGCTAGCAGAGCGTAGGAAGATCTCATGTTTGTCAAGGATCCGTTTTTCATCTCGCTGAAGTTTTGCTCCGGCATTTTCAGTGGGTTTCCAGTGTCTTTTTCCGCAACTGTGCAAAGTTTAACATAACATCAGTTCCTAGTATAACAAAGAGGCACGTTTTGCATTTACAGCTGTGTGTAACCACCTGCTTCGTCAGAATAAAGCAATCTCGTTTAATGTGGAATGCCTGCCAATAAAGAAACAACAGAATTGAAGTGGCTTACCGCAACTAAATTTCTCCCACAATTCTGACAGTTTTATTATTTCTTTAACACGTACGCGCTCCCTAAATTATGAATGACTGCTTCCGCCATTTATCAGTCTGAAATTTTAAAATCAAGTAAAACCGTCCTTTTCGGTCCAATATTGTATCAAAAGAAAACATCATGCAAACTTTGTTTGTTTGAGATATTCATTCAGGCTGGAGGTGTGGCTTGACATTTCATACTAAAGCAATCCTAAGCAATTGCTCAATTTATGTGCCTTTGTTTTGATGCTATAGAACGTAGCTGTAACCAAAGATCCTGTCTATTGATAAATTAGTAGATTTAATCTTCAAATCCCACGAATACCTGCCGAAAAAGGTTAAAAATAAATTGTACTTCTTAGTTAAATATTAGGATGTTCCGAAAGGAAATGAGCTACCATTCTCATTGTATATGATTATAGATAAATGAGATTATATTTTTCTACTAAAAATTTTCTTCTCAGTTCTAAGTGAAACACTTTTCAAAACGTCCAATGTGTCTCTTTCTCGCCTCGTATTTGTGACATTCTTAAAACGTTTGATTTCCTTTCATCAACCCCGGCTGCTGAGGAAGATAAGCTTTAGGCAATACATGTTATTGTTTGCTCGTTTGTCGCACTTCCCGCCTTCAAATCAATTTAGTTTAGTTTAATAACACGCCTTTCCATGTCATGACAACAGAAGTAATGAAATTTTGTTTTGCGTATTCACTGAAAGGAAGCTTCAGTGCAGAAAATTCAAGATGGATGAAAGCAATTTTGATCCATTACGATCCTCCAAGTAATTTCACCACGTGTACGACGCGGGAAAATTGGCTGAGAATTGGAACGAGGTCTTTATTTCTTTGTTATCTGAAATGTTGAACGTGTCCGCCCCCGTTGTAGACACTGTAAACAACGTGGAATTAAAGGGCTTTTCTTTAAACAATTATAACCAAAAAAGGGGAGCATATTGACAGAATTGAGCCGACTGTGACTAATTGCGTTTATTATGTTCAGCCTGTGTGTTATATATAATTCAAAATTGTTCTGGTATCTTCGTGTGATTGGCAGTCTGTTTGGCATATGTTCCCGTTGATGTTGGACCTGACGGAAGTTTCAGGAAAAAAAATTAAATTCTCAGTACTCTACACCAAAAAGAAAAGAAAAATTAAAGTAAGCGGTCTCTTTAAACTTATTCATTCATATCTAACGTAAATTAAATTTTGGACAGCAGGCTGAAGATTAGCCGAGAAGCGACATGCGTGTTTTGTTCCTGTAATTTTGATCCTATCTTTCGGTGTTTTTTCAAGTTACTTTGCATACGTTATAAAGACGTATATTGGTCCTGTTTCCCTGTATATTCATGCTTTGCTAAAAGCCAACGATGTTGTTTTTTAATACTCAGACTCTGCAAATACTCGTTCTTAATGTTTACTATTGAAAATAAACTGAACCGTGGAACCAGGAAAATATTATAACAGATAGTTTGGAGTTCGATTTACCGAAAAGCAATAGAAATGGCTTAAAATTTACAGTTTATTCGATGACGGTGAGATTTTGCTTTCACGGAAATGTATCACAAATTTGAGTTTATACTGTGATTGGGAACAAGCAGTTTCTCGTACTAACTCAAAAGGAAACTGTCACGTTAGTTTGCCACCTTACGTTCGCGGTGAAATATTAACCTTTTGGAAAAGGAACATAAATTCTACTTAGCCTGAAAAAGTGCCCGCGATGATTTCAAACTTACCTTACTTAAATAGGATTTAAGCTGCAGAAACCAAACTTTGCGGCTTTTTCTGAAATTTCTCAGGGAGGTTTTTGGCCGAGGCCACGCGTGTCTTCAGAACCTGTAATTTCATTGGTTCCCTGTTTCACGCACCTCTATTGTTTTAAGGGTCCTTAAAAGTCCTCCTCGTTCTTTCTGTTGTTTGTTCATTGTTCTGTTAAGCCTTCTGAGAGATGTGTGGCGCCTCCAATTTGTTATGCCAATTTCCAATTACCCAACCTGACGTTTTTATGGGAGCCATGTTTTCAAAGGGTATTTTACTGTAAACTACTGTCAATAAGGTAAACGAGTTGACTGCCCGTCTTGATTACTATTGAGTGGACACTTTTAGGGACACAGAGGGTTCAGGGGAGACTTCCGCTTTCCCAACCCCCACACACTCAGGCTCGGACATGAAAAGAAAGCAGCCCATGCAAAAATAAAAGGGTTAGTAAGGTGGTCAACTGAGATAAACTGATATCTTCTCACAGAGCCAAAATTATTTCGTCAATAACGCTTATGATATCCATTTTGTTAAAATGTAAGATCACTTCAATTTGATTGGCAAATTAAAAGCAATCTGTGATCTGGTACATTAAAGTTCTCAGAGTTTGAGTGAAAAATGATCGAGTTTAAAGTTTCAATTGAAACATGTGACGTGATAATAGTACGTGGGAAAATGTCGTTGACTCAGGAAAGGTTCTCAGGAAAGGTGATCTTGACTCAGGAAAGGTGATCTGGTACATTAAAGTTCTCAGAGTTTGAGTGAAACATGATCGAGTTTCAAGTTTCAATTGAAACATGTGACGTGATAATAGTAAGTGGGAAAATGTCGTTGACTCAGGAAAGGTTCTCAGGAAAGGTGATCTGGTACATTAAAGTTCTCAGAGTTTGAGTGAAACATGATCGAGTTTCAAGTTTCAATTGAAACATGTGACGTGATAATTGTACGTGGGAAAATGTCGTTGACTCAGGAAAGGTTCTAAAGACGTGCTAAGCAGTCCGTATGATTCCGGGAAATTTGACTCGCTAAGGCTAGAAATGTGTTGGAATAACGAGAAGAGTAAGACAAGACATCACGTATAAGTAAACGTATACAAACTGTATATATTCTTAAAGCTGTAAAACGCGGTAGTTCGAAATATATTTTGCTCTTTGAGCCACGTCAATCGTTCGCCATGTTGAAAATGTCAATTTCTTCATGTAAAAACCATTAAAATAGCCCACATACTCTTCATTTTCGTGGTCGTCACGAGACACCCTATTTCTGTGGGAGTGCACAGCCATTCGTGACCATCGCATAGATAAATAATGACAATGAGAATACAATTATTTAAACTTGTGGGAGACAGTGTGGCCAAGAGAAGATCAAGGTAAGTACCTTGACTGTACGCTAGACTCCGGATCTAGCACGGTCCGGGTTCCAGCCCAGGCTGTGGTCCCCCAGGGGGTACTCCCAGAAAAATTAGATGGGGGTGTGCGGCCCGCTTCCCAAAACCCTTACCCTATTTACGACCAAAAGCTGCGATTTTCCCTACCCTATTTATGATGACTTGACCAAAAATTCGATACCCTATTTATTACCTGACCCTTAAATCAATACCCTGTTTCAATTCAGACCTGCTTTATAATTAGTTCCCTAGATCAGACCAATGTTAAACATAATTTGTGAAGGGCTTTTTTGATGGTCTTTTCGATAATGATGAAAAAGTAGCTTCTTTTTAAACGCATACCCATATCAAGACCACAAGGCAAAATCCATACCCTATTTTTTACCGAAATGGCCAAAATCAATACCCTATCTATGACCTAAACGGCTGAAAAACCATACCCTTTGGGGCCGCACATACCTTCTTATGGCCCATATTAGGGGTACCCCGGGTGTGGTCCCTGTGTTGCGCTATTGGGAAATTAAGACAGCTGTACCGATCTGATAGGCCACTAGGTTCGGACACAGACTTTGTCGAGACTTTTTACTCCATTTTGATCTTGCGAAAAACGTACTAACCATCAAGATCAAAAATGTTAAGCTTAGGTAATTTGCTCAGTTAATCCGTCTCCTTTAATTTGTCACGCGATTCAGTGAATGTTGCTACAAATCAATAAGTTTTAGATGTTTAACTAGAGGTAACAAATCGCGTTACAAGCTCGGGCGATGTTGTTTTTTGTTTGTTTCTGTTTTTTTTTTCCTTGTGTTTTTTAGAGTGGTTCTGTTTGTTTATTTTATAGTTTGATGTGCAATGTTCATAAATTCTTCGAGCAACACTGTGTATTAATAAGATCTGGATATTTTATTGCGATTTCAAAAGTGAGTGAGTGGGTCAGGTTTTGCCTATGTGAATTATAAATTTTTATTGCAATGACGCAGATTTTTATGAAAGTGCAAAATATCACATGAAATAGTCATCCAACATCCTTTAAACGAACAAGTATGATAAATTTAAGCAATAAAACACTTTTTCCGTGTTTACATAGCCTCGTCTAAGCACGAGGAGGGTTGGGAGAATATTCGAGACAGTTATGCAAATCCGAGACGTAGTCTAGAGTTTGCATAACTTTCGAGAATTCTCGCAGCCCCTCGAGTGTTTAGATGAGGCTATGTAAACACGGAAAAAGTGCTCTATTGCTTTTATAAAATAATTCTCAAAAAGACGCGCGAATCTAAAACGTCAAAACCGTATTTACATACTCTCATCCAAACACACCTATCGACCAATGAGAGCGCGTGTAGTAGCTCAGTTATTTTATAATATGGAATCGTAGCAAGTCACTAAAAATCAAATTTTGCAACGGAAACGAACACTTACAACGCTTTTGAAGAACTTTCTTTTTGGTTGTAAAAAAAAAAGATAAAAATCCATTTTAGATATTTTGGTAACAATCCAATAAACATTAACAATAACATTTTTGAAAGCTTGGCCAATGCTTATTTCCATATATATATTAAAATAATGTTTTATGCACCTGTTCCTTTCTACGATCAGAGAAAGGAACATTGAGCACAAGCAAGTGAAATAACAGAAGCCCCTGATTAGACCCTCGACAGCGCAAAAGTCTGCTTTGATGTAGCTAACAAAAACTTGTTAGAAGAAGAACCAAACAACTGACTTTAAACTCAAAGTTTTCTAAATACCTGTCATTGAAAATCTGGACATTCATCTGTCTATATCATTTCTCATGAAAAACTCAAACAGGTACAATCAGGATAATGTTGTTAAACTTGATTAAATTGTTGTTGATTACTGAAGAAACAAAAAGTTGAGTTATTGTCACAATGTGTTTTTAATTACAGATATGATTAGCGTTATTTCGATTTCCACTGGGGCATTCGACCGAAACAAAACAGGCAGTCGATACACTTGAAATGAATTCTTTGCATGCGCCCTTAACATATGTGCAACCAAATAAACATGATTTTAACATAAAATACCACTGACTCACCTTTGTCAAGGATGATTTCAATTCCGATCTTACAAAACAACTTCTCCGGTAGAGAGTTTACCGTTTATTCGTCTAACGCTTTGCCAGTTGGCCGAGAGAGAACCGAGCTAGAGAATCAATCGTAAAACATTGTATCTGTCAGCGGTTTGGCGCTATGAAAGGGCGGTATGGTTTTACAGCGGCTGTCCCTAAAAGTGCAGGACGGGTCGGAAATTCGCAAAATCATATAGGGTCCAAAGTGAAAGTCAAGAATTGAGTTCGCGAAAGAGATGACAACTTGAGGCAAAGGTAAACTATTCAATCACATTCTTTCATTCCTTAATTTACTCCCTGTGATAAGACGGTGGTGAAAGCTGACAGGCATCATCATCACGCCAATGAATGTTTTCCAAATTTTACTCGTTCTATTAAAGATCTTCCAGGGTTGTGTGTGTCCTAACGAGAGCGGAATATGAGGTTGGATTCCAACGTAACACAGCCAAATGATAAAATTTAGCTAGGCAGCAAAGCTGTTTTTCATAATGTTTTACTAGAAAATGGCCCAACTGAGTTGACAAGCATAGCTAGTGGCAAGAAATATTTGTTGAGCACACGAGAAGCCAAGGACACAAGTGAAGAAACTGATTTATCATGGGTTTATTGGTACGGGAGCAGCAACGCAACGGTTTAACGCAAACAAAATTTTTAAAACGGATCAATTTGGCGCCAAATCATGCAGTGAAGCTTTGAAAGCTTTCTCCACTGTCGTGCTTTTTTTTTTTTTTCCAAGTGAAGCTTTTTATCAACCGGTCTGTGATAAACAGAACTGACAGTGAATGATTGTTTCATGCAACTAATCGAAACCAA